TTGCCAGCACAACATGTCAGTCACGTGAAAATATATGTGATATTAACAGTGCTGGTAGTTGAATATATTAGAGTATTGTGATAATTATGCTCTGGTTAGTGGTTGTTGCGTTGGTATCTACATGTTTTGTCATCGCATTGTGTGTGCGAGTGAGCATGATGTGTAACTTGGACCATGTGATCAGAAAACTTGCAGAAATTGGACTTGAAGTAGGATTTTTTTCATGAATGGCTAATGGTAGGAGAATTAGGAGATTCACTTGTAGCCGATGGTACGTTGTTTGCTTAATACAAAAGTGCGCCACAGAGAAGGTGTTACGTAACTCCGGGTCACTGCGCTTGCTAAAACGGGAAGCGTTTTAGCTAAAACTGTTTATACATCGTACTAGGAGATAAACTCGTTCTGGTTATTCGCTAAACCCTCCCTCCGAGGGGGTTTAAGTTGCCATTTTATTTTTGAGTTCAGACATCGTTTTAGTGAGAAAGTTACACCGAATCGAGTTCAACCGGTGTTTTAAGGGAATTTAAAACGATGTCTGAACGATCCCATAAACCACCTGTCCACGCCTCCTTAACCCTAACTCCCTAGGGAATGTGCAAAATCGTATTAAAATTGGAGGACTCAGGACTGTTGGTCAGATGAAAGGTTGTGTTGAAAACTGCTCCGTCCCAAACCGGTGAGTACAGACCCGAGTTTGTCATAGGCAAACTCGGGTCTGGTTCTAATGGATAATTCACGTAATGTTGTGTGGGAATAATATTGCAGTACTTTAATATTGGGTACTTTATTGACATAATATTGCAGTCACACGGGTACGTTTTACAAAAACATACAATATTTTGATTTATTTTCACCACTAGAAGTCTGATACAAATAAATATTTCATAATATAGTACATGCAGCCACTGCCAAGCACACGGCACACACTCGCAGCCAGTTTTACAGGCTGAACACACTGTGATATACAAACTGACAAGCATGCGGGATGACCATGCTTTAAACTCAATGTCTTGACAGATATTCTGCCAAAATTTTGGTGCCTTGTTATGTTGGTACCCTATATGTCATGAACAACAGGCACTTGTATACAATACTTACAGGGGGTTAAAGGTTTAGGATGTGCTGGGGCGGTATGGAGAATCGAGCAGCTCCATTTCCACTGAAGTACTCCATTGTATAGCACGGCGTCTCAACATTAGCCTCTCCTAATCAAATCCTACTGCCTGGCTTCTCGTGCCAACTCCCATTTTTACAGAATGGCAGAGGGTGTCAGCGAATTTCTGGCGCTATAACCAGTTGCTCCGGGTAGGTGGAGCTCGTCAACCTTGGTTGGTAGTCCGCCTAGGAGAAGGACAACTCTGATTCCAAACCCGGGTAGGTGGAGCTCGTTAGCCTAGGTCGGCGATCTGCCTAGGAGAAGGACAACTCTGATTTCAAACCAGGGTTGGTGGGGCTCGTTAGCCATGTAAGGCAGCCCACCTAGGAGAAGGAAACTCTGATTTCAAACCCGTGCAGTATCGGCCTGCTTATATCTGTATGGTCACGGATCAGAATATGACCATCGCTCCCCACAGCGTGACGTAGGAGTCATCTTGTGGTTGGCGTCAGGAAGGGCATCCGGCTGTGAAATCTTGCTCCAATTTTCAAACTATGGCTAGTAATATGAATAGGCGGGGTACAGCCTCAAGTACTCCGTGGGCCGCTCCACCAGCCTTCGTCAAACATAAAGGTGGAGGAGGAGGCCAAGCCGCAGTAAGTAATGACGGCTATTCGCCCGATGTCCTGCGGGGAGGTCAGAACAGGAGGGGGGTTGAGCGTTTGAGGGTGGCAACGTAGAACATTGGCAGCATGTCGAGAAGGTCTGGGGAGGGGATGGTGAGGAGGGGAGTGGATATGTGCTGTGTGCAGGAGTCAAGGTGGAAGGGAGGTAGTGCAAGGTGGCTTGGTAGGAGGGGTGAGCGGTATAAGTTCTTCTGGATGGGCACTGATGACGGGAGCGGAGGTGTCGGGATGTTGCTGGCAGAACGGTGGGTTTACCAGGTGATGGCGGTTCAGCGAGTCAGTGAACGGATCCTGTTGGTGAAGCTACTGGTCGGGAGGAGAGTGGTCAACGTTATCTCGGCCTATGCCCCACAGGTCGGGAGGTCACAGGAAGAGAAGGATTCCTTCTGGGATCAGATGGTTAGGGTAGTCTCGAGGCTGCCACAGAGAGAGGGTGTCATTGTGGGAGGTGATCTCAATGGCCATGTGGGTGCGGCTGCAGATGGTTATGATGGCGTGCATGGAGGCATGGGTTATGGTGACAGGAATGTCGCGGGTGAGCGGATCCTCGAGTTTGGTGACGCGGTCGGGCTGGTGATATGCAACACATTCTTCAGGAAGACCTCCAACCAGCTGGTGACGTACAGTTCCAGTGGAAGCAATAGTGCTATCGACTTCCTGATGGTCAGGAAAGGGGACCACACCATGGTGAAGAATGTCAAGGTCATCGCAAGAGAAGAGTGTGTTTCACAGCACCGTCTTGTCGTTGGTGACCTGGCTCTGGCTCTGGTTGGTGCTAGGAAGGTGAAGAAGAAGCAAGTGCCGAGATTGCGAGTGTGGCGGTTAACCAAGGAGGATGTGAGCGAGAGGTTTAGAGCAAGGGTGGAGGAATTGGCAGAGCAGGCTGTGATGGAGGAGAGTGTGGATAGTAGGTGGTCTGTGCCAAGGAATATCTGGTTGCAAGCTGCAGAAGAGGTCTGTGGGTGGACGAAGGGTGAGCCTAGGCACAAGGAGTCATGGTGGTGGACCGAAGAGGTCAGGAATGCAGTTGATGAGAAGAGGCGCCGCTTTAATATATGGAAGTCATCGGGCGAGAAGACGGATAGGTTAGCGTACCTCGAGGCAAAGCGGATATCACGGAGACAGGTGTGGATGGCACAAGATGCCAAGAGAAGGGAGTTTGCAGCGGATCTACGGAGTGGTGAGGGTAGGAGGCAGTTCTTTAAGATTGCCAAGCAGATGGCAAAGGAGCGGCAGGATGTGACTGGTGCGAGCTGTGTCAAGGATGAGGATGGTAACATCGTGACGGATATTGAAGGTGTGCAGGAGATACATGGAGCGGCTGCTCAATGTGGAGAACGAGTGGGACAGGGAGGTGGAAAGTGAAGTGGTGGAGGGTCCATTTTGCCTTATCGAAGAATGGGAGGTGGCTCAGGCACTGAAGCACACCAAGTCTGGGAAGGCCGCTGGTCCATCTGGAGTGGTTAGTGAGATGATGAAGGCCTCTGCAGGTGTCAGTGTACAGTGGATGACGGCCTTGTGCAATTCCATTTTGGCAGAAGGCCGTATTCCCACAGATTGGCAGAACAGCATCTTGGTTCCCCTGTTCAAGGGCAAGGGTGACCCTTTAGAGTGTGGCTCTTTAAGGGCCATCAAGCTCCTGGAGCAGGCAATGAAGGTGTGGGAGAGAGTGCTTGAGGTACGTCTGAGGATGCAGGTGGAGATTGACGAGATGCAGTTCGGCTTTATGCCGGGTAGAGGAACTACTGACGCCATTTTCATTGTACGACAGCTGTAGGAAAAATTTCTGGCCAAGAAGAAGAAGCTCTACCTCGGGTTTGTGGATCTTGAGAAAGCTTTTGACCGAGTGCCAAGGGAGGTTGTGCGATGGGCCTTGAGGAAGCGGGGTGTGGAGGAATGGCTGGTGAGAGCAGTGATGATGTTGTACACTGGTGCTAGTACGGTGGCGAGGACAGGTGCAGGGGATAGCAGGAGTTTTGAGGTGAAGGTTGGTGTACACCTGGGCTCGGTACTGAGCCCCCTGCTGTTTGCTACTGTGATGGACGTGGTGTCCAGTGAGACGCGAGGCGGGCTGCCTTGGGAACTGCTGTATGCGGACGACCTAGTCCTTATAGCAGAGACAAGGGAGCAGCTACATACAAAGATGGCAGCATGGAGAGTGTGTCTGGCATCTAAGGTTCTGAAGATCAACGCCGGGAAGACCAAGGTGATAGTTAGTCGCGTCAGCGGTGGGCCAATGTTGAGCTCTGGTGCATGGCCGTGTGGTGTGTGTGGGAAAGGTGTAGCTGCCAACTCAATCCAGTGTACAACGTGTAGGAAGTGGGTTCACAGGCGATGTAGTGGCTTGAAGGGTAGTCTTCAGGCTGCTAGCGCCACGTTCGTCTGTAAGAGATGTCGGGGTGATGGTCTACGGCCAGAGGAGAGAGAAGCGGGTCTGGAGGTCTGCGGTGACACGTATGAGGTGGTGGAGGCGTTCTGCTACCTGGGTGACATGCTGGGTGCTGAGGGAGGAGCAGATGCAGCAGTGACATCACGCGTGAGGAGTGGGTGGAAGAAGTTCAGGGAGCTGGCCCCATTTTTGACATCCAAGGCGCCGCCCCTGAAGATGAAGGGCCAGGTTTACACCGCCTGTGTCCGAAGCAGTATGGTGTACGGCTGCGAGACATGGCCCACAAGGGTGGGGCACATCCAGCAGATGGAACGAGCAGAGATGAGAATGATCAGGTGGATGTGTGGGGTGTCTCTGGCTGACAGGCTGTCAAGCGAGGAGCTGAGGAGGAGAGTGGGAGTGGAGGGGATCGGCATCGTATTGAGGAGGCACAGGCTGAGGTGGTTTGGTCATGTGGAGAGAAAGGAGGATGTCAACTGGGTCAAGAGGTGTACCAACGTAATTGTGGGTGGGTCCACACCCGTCGGCCAACCGCGCAAGACTTGGCAGAGCTCTGTGTCAGATGACATGCGACTGCTTGGAGTCAATGCGAGGGATGTGACGGACAGGGCCAAGTGGAGGAGAGCCATAGGGAGAAAGCAGGCCAACCCAGAACAGACTGGACAACGGCCTTAAAACCAACATGATGATGACAGAATGTTGAGATGGTGTTTTTTAAAACTTCAGCTGTCATTTTTAGTATATAGTGAAAGGGGCCACAAAAGCTTCAAAGATCGAAATGGCAAGATAAGCTGCATCATTATGCTACATCATTGCTTGATTGACTTACCCTGGTACCTTATGGTTAGCTCCGTTAGTTGTAGTACCACCTGCAATGTTGCCATCTCTATCTATAACAAGCATTCCAATGGTGTCATGGTTGCCCTTGTCTACCTCACTGTTGTAGCGTGGCTCAACAGGATGTGACCTTGCATAGTCTGGGTGGTATGGTCCACAAGATTTAGTCGGGTCTGGTTGCACATTCTATGAGAAAAAGACAAGGTTATAACGTATCAGTCGTCCTTCTTTTTTTTAATGATTTCACCTGTATTTTAAGTATTAAATCTTATTTTGCATGATCATTTCAAGAGGCAGGAGTACATACCAAGAGTCTGTTCAAGGCCAATGCCAGACTGCCCAATTCAAGGCTTTGTGCCATAGCCTATAAAACAAATCTATTGTCAAGTAATTTGGATTGTCTGCACATTCTTGAGGTGCTTCATGAAGAAACAAAACTCCGTGCACAGAATAGATCAGTGAGGTATACTTTCCATCTGCTGGCTTAGTTCCGCAGCCAGAGGGGGGGGGGGGGGGGAACTATATTTAGTTGGATATATGTACAAATGTACATGTAATTTATGTTCGCATATTTCCACAAAGGAGGCCATACTTTAAAAGAATTTACATGATGACACCTTATAACGGTCGGGCTATTTGTGATAAATCAATTATTTATGTTTTTATTGATATTTATCAATACATAGAATTTGTGCATAGTCAAAAACATATTTTCAAAGTGTATGTTTTCACTTATAACATTGTAACGAAAATGCAAGTCATGATTAATTTCCAGTAAGCACACTTTATTCTTCACTCTGATAAAATACAGGTTCCTTTCATAAACTTAATTGATAGGACTTACAACTCATATTTGATTGAGAAGAATTAATGTCAATACAGTTGACCACGTATTGATAATAGGGCCTATGATAAACTATTGGTAGAATAGCTGTTAAATGAAATGACTTATACAAGTTTAGTTCATCTATGCTTTCTAGGTCAAGACCTAGAGATTATTGTGAAGAAGAATGATTATTAGAGCATTGCAAGAAACATTTTATTATGATACGCTAGCTCCTCAGGGCTCGGTGTTCAGATCGTGACCGGTTCTGGCCCGGTGAGGAAGTTCACCCAGAATAAGGAGCGCGTCTTACTCAACATTCGATTGCAATGCACATTGGCGCTCCGCCTCATCGTTATCCACATAGACATTAGATTATACGCTTTAGGCACGGTGTGTGCCAACAGTTTTGGAAGACAATAAAACCATTATTATTATTTGAACAACACGATCTCTCCAGTCAGAATTCTTGTCTAGTCTCTAGTCATTTAGTACTTGAACTAGTAATTCCACGCCCGTTACATTTGGTGGCAGCGGTGACCGGACTTCGACGGAGGTATTGTACACGCTACCAGAACGACAAAAGAAGATGAATACTTCCGATCAAGAAATCGGTTCATTTCAATGTGAATGACGAGAAATCAACCTGATGAAGGAAGAAAATGAGAGGTTGTGGCGGCAACTGGCGGCAATGGGCACTGCCGATAATGAAGAACCGTCACCGGACAACATGGAACAACGAGAACCGTCACCGTACAACATGGAACAACAGAGATCGACACAGAACAACATGTCAGCCCGGTCTGGCAATAAGCCGAGAGTTCGGCCAGCGACGTATGATGGTATGAGCCCCTGGGAAGACTATCTTGTGCAGTTTGAGCTATTGGCTGAGCTCAACGGGTGGAGTGCACGAGAGAAGGCGATGTACCTGGCCGCTAATCTACGGGGCGCAGCACAGGCCATGCTGGGTGACTTAGATGTCACTAGACGACGAGATTGTAACGCTCTCGTCACAGCACTCGGTCGACGATTTAGCCCTGACAACCAGACGGAGATGTTTCGTGTTCAATTAAAGAACCGAATGAGTGGGCGAGATGAGAAACTTCCCGAGTTGGCCCAGAGCATAAGGCGGTTGACACGACGGGCATACCCAACGGCACCCTACGAGCTACAAGAAACACTAGCAAGAGAGCATTTCATATATGCTCTAGATGATGCTGACATCCGTTGGCGAGTGTTTCAGTCCAGGCCGATCAACATTGATGATGCCGTGAGAGTTGCCATTGAGCTTGAGGCATTTCATACGGCAGAGAGACAACAGGGCCAAATAAGATGGTCAGCACCAGCTGCCAGAGTGATATCCTCTGACACGACAGATACAGCAGCCACACAACCACTGGAACGACAGCTATTACCAAAGATTTCAACAATCTACAAAAACAACTAAATGGGGAAGGAAAGACGGATAATGGCCATGATTATGATTACCCCCAGATCATCAACACAACGAAGATGGGCACGCCAGGAAGACAAAGGCACCGTGAAGTGTTGGAACTGCCACGAGACCAGCCATTTCCGACGAGAATGCCCAAAAGCCGGTTCATGGAGAAATGATACAAGCTCACTTCAGAGAAACGCCGGACATCTAGAAGGGGTTGGTATGAGTTTTTTGGTGGATACAGGGGCCAACATAACAATAGTGAGGCCAGAGATTTACTACGCCATACCAGAATCAACGCGACCACGACTAGAGAATAACGAAATCACCATGGTAACAGCAGATGGCAAGCCCCTACTCTCCACTGGGCGTGGGAGTTTTCAACTTAAAATCGCCAAGCAGAGCCCTAAGGTACAAAATGATGTATGGGTGGCTGAGATCGACCTAGACGGTATCCTGGGCTATGATTTCATGATGAAATACAACTTTAATCTAGATGTGGGTAAGGCAAAAATGAAACTACACGACATACCCATAGCGTGCACAGCCACTGCACGGGCACCAGCATCATCATGCCGCATCACTGCAGACACTACTGTGAGCATTCCACCAGGCGGAGAGGTATTGCTACCAGGGAAACTGGAAGGAGAAGCAGGGCTTATGGGACTGGCTGTAGTTGAACCAACGGCTAATTTGATAGAAGTTGCAATGGCAAACGTGCCTGACATACATCGATGACATCGTATCCTATGGCTGCAACTTTCAACAAGCACTTGGGCGACTTGAAGAAGTATTAGTTCGACTCAAGACAGCTGGGCTAAAACTAAGCCCAAAGAAATGCCATCTATTTCAACGCAGCGTGTCCTTTTTGGGCCACACCATCAGTGAGAAGGGCATAGCTTCAGATGACATCAAGACAGCTACAGTAAGAAACTGGCCAACACCAAAGAATGTCACCGAAGTTTCCTGGGCCTATGCTTGTACTACCGAAGATTTGTAAGAGGCTTTGCAGGCATTGCAAAACCATTGCATCAGCTGACTGAAAAAACAACAGCAGTTCATCTGGACAGAAGAAAGTGACAGAGCATTTCAGCAACTTAAAAAGGCCCTCACATCCACTTCAATTTTGGCGTATCCTACTGAAGAAGATGAATTCATATTGGATACCGATGCAAGCAACTATGGAATTGGTGCAGTGCTATCGCAGGTGCAAAATGGCACAGAAAGAGTCATTGCATACTTCAGCCGTACACTTGGCAAAGCTGAGCGCAAGTACTGTGTGACGAGAAAAGAGCTCCTGGCTATAATCAGTGCAACAATTCATCACTACCTCTATGGCAGAAAATTCCTGATACATACTGACCATGGAAATTGAGATGGCTAATGAACTTCAAGAGCCCAGAAGGTCAGACGGCAAGATGACTAGAAGTGATGGGTACCTATACCTTCGACATACAACACAGACCCGACAGACAACACGGTAATGCAGACGGCTTATCTCGCCGGCCATTTGACGAATGTCAACAGTGCGAAAGAATTGAGCACAATGACCATGAAATGCATGATCATGTCATCACACCGAAGCCAACAGCCATCAATAACTTAGAGCCAACTGATGTCTTGCTTATTTGCAAAGAGAATGAAGAAGTGATGAGCCAAGAAGAAAAGTGTATCGACAAAGAAAAATCGTCATGTAATGGCAATGATGATGGAGTGCATGGTTACTCAGCCCAACCCGTGTGCACAAATGAAGTTGATAAAAATGAAGACATACAAGATGTAAGCACTGACCCCAACGCAAATACCGAGGTGCAAGATTTACCAATAATGTACTGTTCCGTGATTGGAACTACCGAGGCCGGAGAAGAAACCCCAGAGGAAAAGTCTGAAGAGGGCTGGAGTTCAGGAGACCTCGGATGGACAGCCAAAGACTTGAGAGGGTCGCAACTGAATGACAAAAACATCAGGCAGATACCCCTTTGGAAAGAGTCAAGATAAGAGCGACCGGACTGGGCAGAAGTCTCTCCCGAGGGCAGAGTAGTTAAATCCTATCGGACGCTATATTTCAAATTATCTATGCAAACTGGAGTTGAATGCGCTAATTGCGCATGGCAGAAAGGCATTCCTGAATCGGTTGGTTTTTGTGGCAATTTGCCGTACCCTCCCAGACTGGTTAACAACAACAGATGAGTTAAGTGGATGAGTTACGTCATCTTTAATGAGCACAAACTTTGCGCGCATTGTATCCTCCAAAATATCCTGCACCGCATTCAGCTCACAGCCTATGATCTTAGAAGCATTCTTTGTTATACGCTCAATCTTCTTGCGGTCGCTCACCTGGAGTGCGTTAAACCAGACAACACAACAGAAAGTAATAACAGATTGGATGGTGCTTTGATAAAATAACTTTAAAATTGTTTCATCTACCTTAAAACATTTCAGTTTCCTGAGAAAGTACATTCTTTGATTGGCCTTTTTAAAAATAGTTGTTGTATTTGAATTCCAGTTCAGACGATTATCAATGCACGTACCTAAATATTTATATTCAGTCACTATGTCCACAGTTTCATCGTGAATTACAATTGGCTCAATATGATTTCTGTCCCGACGAAAGTCAAAGATCATTTCCTTTGTTTTCTTCACATTAAGAACCAAAGAATTATTTTCACACCATTGAACTAGTTTAAAAACTTCGTTCCTATAGGCAGTCTCGTTGTCATTAAAAATCATCCCAGACAATGCAGTATCATCTGCATATTTGTTCAAAGCACAAGAGCCACTTTGTAAGGTGTAATCACTAGTGTACGAAGAAAATAAAATGAGGGACAAAACACACCCCTGAGGAACACCTGTATTTGTAACAATAGTGTCAGATAATGAATTTTCAAATCTAACCCGTTGTGATCTGTTCGCAAGGAAACTCTT